TTAATTTTTTCCAGTCTTTTTTTTTTTTTTTTTGTTTTTTGTTTTTTCAAGACAGTATTTCTCTGTGTAGCATTCTTGGCTGTCCTGGTACTTGCTTTGTTGATCAGGCTGGCCTTGAACTCACTTAGATCTGCCTGTCTCTGCCTTCAAGTGCTGGGATTAAAGGCCTGTGATACCATTGCCTGGCAAGATTTTATCTTTTGTGTATAGGTGTTTTACTTCTGTGTATATTTGTATACCATGTGTGTACAGTGCCCACAAGAAGCCAGAAGAGGGTGTCAGATCCTCTGGAACTGGGGCTACAGTTGTGAGTTGCTTTGTGGGTAGCAGGAATTAAACAGATTCTTTAGAAGAGCAGCCAGCATGGTTAACTGCTAAACCATCTCTCCAGCCCCACTTTGTGAATTTAAGAGTGAAATTATACCAAAACACATAAACCAAGCCACTTGGAACACTAATAAATTTACAGTTTCAATATTTTCATCTACTGATTCTTTTCAAACAGAGCTGTCAATATGAGCGAGGACCAGAAATTGCTCTTGCTAGGACCATGATTGCCTTAATCTTCTTCAACTTTTTCTGTGTGGCCAAACTTGAATTACTCAACAAATGCTTTCTCTCCCTATGAGATACTTTATTTTTACCTTCTGATAGTCTTTGTTATCAGGAGTTACATTTCTTTTCTTACTTTACTTCTAAATTCTACACTTGATTTCACTTTTGTACTGACTCACATTGCCTCTGGAAGTTGGTTGACTATCATCAGTTTGTGACATTTTTACAAAGCACTGTGCTCATGGCTCTAATGGACTACTTTTCCACCTGGTTTGCTTTTTTCAAGGATGTTTTCACAGTCAGATCTAGAAAAAAAGAAGGACATTTATCTCAGCAAAGTCATTGCTCATATAGAAGACCCAGGGGAATCCAACCAAGGTAATGATAACCAATGAATGGCTTATAAAACATGTATTTTCTTTCCATGAATGTTTTGAATTTTCTTAAATTATGAAGAAGAAATCTTTATCCCAGAATTTACTTCTAAGGTTTATTTAAGTAAATAATTGTGCAAAGGCCAACAAGTTTCTCCCTTATAGTTGAGGGCTATAACACAGATCTTAATGCTTTTTTTAAACTGGAGGTTGTCATTATTTTCTCTGCTAACTAGTAGAAGTAGATGAAGTGATGTTCTTTACTAATTATTGTTTGGGGACTTTTTCTTTTTTCTTTTGGTTCTTTTGAGACAGGATTTCTTCATAGTTTTGGAGCCTCTCCTGGAAACTAGCTCTTGTAGATCATGCTGGCTTCAAACGAAGAGATCCACGTGCCTCTGCTTCCTGAGTGCTGGGATTAAAGGCATGTGCCTCCGCCTCCCATCTAGTTTTGTGACTTTAAAATGTGGAATTATTTTCTCTGTTACCTGAGCATTTAAAGCCTCATCCTGTGTCACAGCTTCTCAGTACAAGCTCTTGAAATAATTCTGAACTATTTCCTAGATCCTTCAAGATAATCTCCAGGTACTTCATCTGAAGCTGTTGCAAGCCAAAGTGGAGAAATTCTTTCTCCAGCCCTCAGGATACTATACTGTTTTATTCAGTTTGACCTAGGGTTAATGGGAAATTCCTAAAGAGAAAGGAGCAGAATTGAAGGCATGGGATATTAGGAGGCTTTATACTGATAAAAGAATTCTTCCCATAGAGGTCACTCTGTCTTTTGAAATGTTTAGCTTCTTTCCTTGTTCAACAGACTTTTGTGGAATGCTTCTACAAGTATTAAGTTTGAAGATTAGGAAGAATAGCAGTGGGTCTTGCTTGACCTGCTGGGAATTCTTAGACTAGAGAAGATCATTGCACTAACGAAATGATTATTTTTCTAAAGAAATACACTTAAAGTAATGTAGAAACGAGGAGGGATTTGTGTTTGGGAAGAATGGAGATAATTAAGAAAGATGTTCTAGGTGTGTTCCATAGAAAAGGCGTAAGCTATCCTCGGACTCCAGATCTGTTCTGTGAGAGATTTGGAGGATGTTCTGCAGAGAGGAGTCTTCTTTCTCTTGAAAAGACCTTGATTAGTAATTTCTGTTTTTAAGGCTACACATGAAAGGTAGAATGCTGACATCCGTCAGGAGAAATCATTAAAAAACAAGTTCCTTTCTTTTTTTACTCAAGATTTTATGAAGCAATTCGATATCACTGGTGTTCATTTCTTAGTTATCTGCTTGTGAAATTTTTTTGTTGGAACTGTTAGGTCTGTTGGAAATAAAGATATTTTCCTACCCATATCGTCAGAGGGCAGGCCTTAGAGAAATTTGTGCATCTTCAAGCTTGTTAAAAAAACAAACAAACAAAAACCCTAGTTGTTATTTTTCTCCTTCTTCTATGACTTAGGAATGGGCACTGGTAATCTAGTTATAGTTTCCTTTTTCATTTGAGGTATGTGCAGTTGCTCACATTTTAGCATCTTTCTCATGCAGCAGTCCCTCTTCAAAATTACAATTTATGCCATGTTTGCAAAGACTAGCTAGAGATGCAATGAGAAAGCAACACTTCAGTGGCCGAAAAAACAAAAGTCTAGGCTTATTTTTATTTATTTTTTATTACATTTGATCTCTTTTGTACATATGTGTGCATGTAGATGGGGGTGTGCAGCCACAATGCGTGTATGAAGGACAACTTGTAGGAGTCAGTTTTCTCTACCATGTGGGTCCCAAATATTGACCTCAGGTCATTAGGCATAGCAGCAAGTGCCTTCACCTGATGAGCCATCCCACTGGTGCGACTTCTGGATATATCCTAGCATTGCTGTTGACTAGATGGAACTTGAGCCACCAAGAACCTGTTTGCAAAGTGAGAGTAATGTAGTTTAGTTTGTGCAAATACAAGTGTATTTTCTACATTTGACCCAGCCTTTTCTGACTTTTCATCCCGCAGTGGCTCTAGAACATTGGGATTTAAGTTACAGAAAGACCAAGTCTTTAATGGTATAGCCTCCTCTCTCTAAGCTTGCAACATGAGGAGGGCTCCACCAGTGTAGGAGGCAACATCTGAGTTCCAAGGAGTGATAGGTGGGGCTCTGCTGCTGCAGCATGAGCCAGCACAGCTGACCCAGAACTTAGAATTTTCTTGTTTGGTTTTTGTTTTAAGTGTTTTTTGTTTTTTCTTCGTAGTGTGAATAACTCAATATTAAAAGTTCCTTTATGGGAAATGTTTTTCCCCCCTTGTATCAGGAGTAGCTCAGTGTCAGCGGTCCCTTCATAGGAGAAAACAATTAAACCCTACTTCTAGTGCAGAAACAATCACAGCCATGGCATAACATACTAAGCCAACACTGCTTAAATTGCTGGAGGTATTAGTATTCATATATGGAGGATGTTCTCTTTTCCTGATCATCTAATTAATGCTTAAATGAATGCTTAATTTTCATAGTAAATGAACTGGAAGAGCAAAATTCATAATTTTGAACTATATCATTGGGTGTGCTCTTTTTTTTTTTTTTTTTTCCTGAGACAGGGTTTCTCTGTAGCTTTGGAGCCTGTCCTGGAACTAGCTCTTGTAGACCAGGCTGACCTCGAACTCACAGAGATCAGCCTGCCTCTGCCTCCTGAGTGCTGGGATTAAAGGTGTGTGCCACCACAGCCCAGCTCAAATGATTTTTTTCAAAGCCTAAGTACACCTAAAAACAATGACTTTGTTCTGATGTTTAAACCAGAATCAGTGACTCTTCTAAATTTCCCATTACACTGAGTTATGAGTACATAGGAGTATATAAGTTATCCCCCACCCCCTGTTTAACTTTTGTATATACTGAAAAAGTTCTGTAATGAGATTTTTAAAAACTGACTTTTAGGAAATTCTTTTTTGGCATCTAATAATATTTTCCCATATAGTTATTCTAAAATTTTCTTGGGTCTCTGATATTTCTGTCTTCCTTTCAGTAATGGTATTAAAGTTTGTTGTTATTGCTTTTAAATTGTATTCATTACTGTTGTGTGGGTGTTCATGATATGTGGGTTTATATACATGTGTTGGGCAAATGGCAGCTTTTTTGAGTCAGTTCTTTCCTTTCACCTTAATATGGGTTCCAGGGCTTTGAATTCCCAAGTAAACTGGATTTGTATATAGATATATAAATTGTTATATAAATGATGATTAAGTAAGTGCCTTCACCCACCAAACCATTTCACCAGTCCTTAGTTTTTTCCTGTGCTTGTGTGTGTGTGTGCACACACACATACATATGCATATGGAGCCTAGGAATTGATGATCTGATGTCTTCCTTTTCATTCATTTCTAGACAGGCTCTTTCACTGAACATGGAGCTGACAGCCATTTTAGTTAGACTGGCTGGCCAGCAAAGCCTTGGGATCCACTTTTCTGTCTCGCCAATGTTGGAGTTACAGACATTTACTGTCTTTCTCAGCTCTTTTTGCATGGGTATTAGCGATCCAAATTCAGGTCCTTATGCTTCTACACCAATCACTTTACCTAGTGAGCCATCTCCCTAGCCTAGTACTACATTTTTATGTCTCTTTCCTTATACAGTATTCAGTGTACATATGCACCATCTTAGGCTTTTTGGAGATTCTTTGAGATGGAGCTTCATCTATGCCAGGCTGGCCTCTTACCACTTTGTAGCCGAAGATGAGTTTGAACTTTTTAGACAATGAGTCTTTCTTACTGGTTATCTCTGGCTGAAAGTCAAGCATTCAAACACACAGATCTGTAGGGGCCATTCTCATTCAAACCACTATACCTAGCCACTGAAGTTTTGAGAATTTTGTATTCCGTATTACAAATGAGGACAGTAAAGTAGAGCCTATAAAGGGACTATCTTAATTCGTAAATTGCTTCCCCTCCCCTTTTTTGTGGATTTATTTGTTTGTTTGTTTGTTTGTTTATTGTAGTCCTGACTGTCCTGGAACTCAACTCTGTAGGCCAGGCTGGCCTCAAACTGAGAGATCCACCTGCCTCTGCCTCCCAAGCTCCCAAGTGCTGGGATTAAAGGTGTGCATCTTTAGTACACCACTATCCAGCTGTACTCAATTTATTTAAGGAATCTTCCATGTTAGTTATTCTATATTTTATTTTATTTTGAGGCAAGATGTTGCTGTATTGCCCAGGCTGTCCTTAATCTTCCAGTTTATAATCCTCTAGTGCTGGGATAACATGGGTACATCACAATGTCTGATTTACACATTAATCTTTTTAGCCAAGGGCCAGTTAGATAGCTCAGTGAGTAAAGGTGCTTGCTGCATCAGCATGGTGGTCTGAGTTTAATCCCTAGAGTCGTGTCAAAGTAGAAGGAGATAACTGACTCCATCAAAGTCTGCTGACCTCCACTGATGTGTCATGGGTCATGCACCTACACATATCACACACATATCCAGTAATTTAAACACAAGGGTCTTGCCAGGCAGTGACAGTGCACACCTTTAATCCCAGCGCTTGGGAGGCAGAGGCAAGTGGATCTTTCATTTTGAGGGCAGCCTGGTTTACAGAGTGATTTCTAGGACAGCCAGAGCTATACAGAGAAACCTTCTGTCTCAACACATCAAAACAAACAAACATCTTAAGAGATGGCTCAGTTATTAAGTATACTTAACTTATTTTGTTGAAGACCAGGTTTAATGCCCAATACCCACTTGGCAGCTCACAATCTTTTGTAACTCCAGTTCAGGGATCCAGTGCTGTCTACTGGCTTTTGCTAGCACCAGGAATGCATCTAGTGTACATATATGTAGTGGTTCTCAGACTTCCTAATGCTGTGACCCTTTAGTACAGTTCCTCATGCTATGGTGATCCCCAACCATAAAATTATTTTTGTTGCTACTTCATAACTGTAATTTTGCTACTGTTATGAATCATAATGTAAATATCTGTGTTTCCTAGTGATCTTAGGATCTATGAAAGGATTGCAACTCATGGATTGAGGACCTC